TGGTGCAGAGTCTGAGAAAGAGGGATTGATTTGCAAAACTGAGACTAGATCATTAACTGACCATGAGAGGCAAGAATATGACCGCCCTCCTTCTTTTGGTGTACCACCTGTTCCAACTGTAATGGCAGCAATAGATCCTAGATCGGAGTTAAAGGAACAGATAGCACAATTGCAGGAATAAATTAAACTAGAGGAAATGCGTCAATCATTGATACTTAAATTGCAGAACCTCAGGACATGCATGGAGACAGTGGTAGACAGGGATGTAGCTCGCCAGATTCCTAGGGGGCCCGGTCTCCATTCATATAAAGAGAATCTTAATGAACATGAACCTGTTAAACCTCCCTCCTATATGGAGGCTTTTCCTGTGACAGAAGCTGTAGATGACCAAAGGCAAGCTTGGCGACATCATGAGGGTTTTGATTTTCCATTTATTATAGAATTAAAAACTGCTGTGTCTCAGTATGGAGCCACAGCCCTGTATACTGTAACAGTCTTTGAAGGTATGGCTGAAGAATGGTTAACTCCCATTGATTGGAATACAGTAGCAAGAGCGGTCCTTAGTGGGGGTGAGTGTTTGCTCTGGAAATCAGAGTATTTTGAGAATTGTAAGGAGACAACTAGAAGAAACTAGCAAGCTAGGAATGGATGGGATCTTGATATGTTAGTGGGCGAAGGTCAGTATGGGACTAATGAACGACAAATGCAATATGACCCAGGACTTTACTCACAAGTTCAGGCTGCTGCCACTAAAGCATGGAGGAACCTTCCAGTTAAAGGGGACCTGGGAGCCTCTCTCAGTTTAGTCAAACAGGGGTCTCATGAACCATTTGCAGACTTTGTCCATCGATTAATGACTACAGCAGGGAGAATATTTGGGAATGTTGATGCAGGGCTAGAGTGTGTGAAATAGTTGGCTTATGAGAATTCTAATCCTGCCAGGCAGCCATTAGGCCTTATAGAAAAAAGACTGATTTAACTGGCTATATATGCCTGTGTTCAGACATAGATCCGTCTTATCAGCAGGGACTTGCCATGGCAGCAGCTTTTAATGAACAAACTGTGAAAGATTTTTTGGCTGAGAAAAGTAAAAATAAAGGCAAAGAGTGTTTTAAATGTGGTAAAATTGGGCATTTTGCCCAGGAATGTAGAATGCATGATGATCAGCAAAAGATGAAAGATGAGAGAGCTCCAAGATTATGTATGTCCCAGATGTAGAAGGGGAAAACATTGGCTTAACAAATGTAGGTCTAAAACTGATAATTGAAGGGAGACTTTTACCTCCACATCAGGGAAACGGGTGGAGGGGCCAGCCCCAGGCCCCAAGACAAGTTTTTGGGGCAGTCAGCTTCGTTCCCGCCAGCAGCAGCAATCCATTTCTGACCTCAACTGAGCGACCCCAGGACGCGCAGGATTGGACCTCAGTTCCTTCTCCTACACAGTATTGACTCCAGACATGGGAGTTCAGACCATAGCAACTGGAATTTATGGACCATTCCCCACCAATACTTGCGGGCTGATATTACGGCACGGGAGTACTGCTCTTAAAGGCCTATCTGTTGTGCCTGGGATTACTGATGCAGACTATACTGGGGAAATAAAAAATTTAGCCCGAGCTGTTAACAATATAGTCACCATTCCACAAGGGGAACATATTGCTCAGATAGTTTTAATTCCCCTGGTTAAGTCCAATCATCTTGTTCAGGGAAGAAGCAGAGGAAATAAAAACTTCGGTTCATCCGATGCTTATTGGGTACAAGCCATTACTCACAAAAAACCGATGTTGACTTTATGGCTTAATGAAAAAAAGGTAAAGGACAGAGCCAAAACCCAAAACAGAGCTCGAAATTTCTCACTTGGAAAGATTCCATGAATAATTCTGGTTTAATTAAGCCTTTTGTGGTCCCTTATTTATCAGTAAACCTGTGGGGGAGAGATCTGCTTTCACAAATGGGAATTGTTATGTGTAGTCCAAACGATGTTGTTACTGCACAGATGCTCACTCAAGGATACAGCCCTGGTAAAGGATTAGGGAAGTTAGAAAATGGACGGTTGTCACCTTTAGAATGCATAGGTCAGAATGATAAGCGTGGCTTGGGAAATTTATGATGGCAGCTGTTGACAGTCCTGCACCCTCAAACTATGTGGATCGTATAACCTGGCAATCAGATGATCCGGTTTGGGTAGCTCAATGGCCGCTTACAGCAGAGAAATTGGCAGCAGCCACTCATTTGGTGCAGGAACAACTTGAGGCAGGGCACATTGAAGAGACTTGTTCTCTGTGGAATACACCCATATTTGTTATTAAAAAGAAGTCAGGAAAATGGAGATTATTGCAAGACTTAAGAGCAGTCAATGCTACTATGGTCCTCATGGGAACTTTACAGCCAGGTTTGCCTTCGCCAGTTGCCATACCACAAGGATATTTTAAGATAGTAGTAGACCTTAAGGACTGTTTTTTCACCATTCCCTTATATCCTGAGGATCGCAAACGCTTTGCTTTTAGCCTTCCTTCTATTTATTATAATGAGCCTATAAAGAAATATCAGTGGAAGGTTTTGCCTCAAGAAATGGCCAATAGCCCTACCCTTTGTCAAAAGTTTGTAGCTGCAGCTCTTCAAAATACTAAAAATGCTTGGCCATCTATGTATATAATTCATTATATTGATGATATTCTGATAGCAGGTGCATCAGGAAAAGTGGTGTTACAATGTTATGCTCAGTTAAAATCTGATTTATTGGATGCTGGCTTACAAATAGCCCCTAAAAAGGTGCAAACACAGGATCCAGTTAAAATCTGATTTATTGGATGCAGGCTTGTAAATTGCTCCTGAAAAGGTGCAAATGCAGGATCCTTATTCTTATTTATGTTTTCAGATTGATGGACAAAAAATAACTAGTCAGAAGGCTATCCTTAGATTAGATAAACTGCACACCTTAAATGATTTCCAAAAACTATTAGGTGATATTAATTGGCTACGTCCTTACTTAAAGTTGACCACTGGGGGCTTAAAGCCTCTCTTTGATATCCTTAAAGGGGATGCAAATCCAACTTCACCCAGGGCACTTACTGAGGAGGCCAGAGTTGCCATACTCAGAGTTGAGGAAGCAATTGCTAATCAATTTGTTACCAATGTAGATTATTACAAGCCCTTATGGCTCATAATTTTTAATACCCAACTATCACCTACGGGTCTTCTTTGGCAGGAGCCCGATCATCCTCTTATGTGGGTACACTTGCCTGTCTCACCAAAAAGGGTATTGCTTCCATATTATGATGCAGTGGCTGAATTAATGATTATTGGTCAGGATCATAGTCGTAAATATTTTGGTATGGACCCTCTTCATATTGCACAGCCTTATACCAAAGATCATATTAATTGGGTACGTCAAAATTCAGAGGCGTAGCTGATCGCTTGTGCTAATTTTCCAGGAATTTTAGATAATCATTACCCACCTGACAAGCTCATTCAATTTTTTAATCTGCATACCTTCATTTTTCCATGCATTACTAGTCAGCAGCCTTTACCTACTGCTTTGTTAGTTTTTACAGATGGTTCCTCCAATGGCATGGCAGCCTATACTTGGAACGATCAGTTTGTGCAATTTCAAACTAATAAAACCTCTGCACAACTGGTGGAACTGTCTGCCATTATATCAGTTTTCTCTATGTTTCCTGATACACTCTTGATATATATACTGACAGTGCATATATTGCTCGTGCTGTACCTCTTTAGAAACTGTTCCTATAATTGGGCATATTTCTGAAGCTGCAAATCTTTTTCGTCAGTGCCAACACCTCATTCACCAGAGGATGGCCCCATTCTTTTTAGGCCACATTTGAGCACATTCTAACCTTCCTGGGCTTTTAACAGCTGGCAATCAGGTTGTCAATGCAGCCACCAGGCTTGTTGCTATTGCTACTCCTTCTAATGTTACTCAAGCTCAACAGGCTCATGAGTTGCATCATCTCAATGCAGCTTCCTTGAGATTAATGTTTAAACTCACTAGGGAACAAGCTAGACAAATAGTTAAAGGATGTAAGACTTGTGTCACTTTTCTTCCTGTTCCCCATCTAGGAGTTAATCCTAGAGGACTGGTCCCTAACATGCTTTGGCAAATGGATGTATCTCATTATAAAGATTTTGGCAAATTTAAATGTATTCATGTTTGCATTGATACTTTCAGTGGATTTCTTTGTACTTCCTTACAAACAGGGGAAGCTACTAAACATGTTATTGCTCATTTGCGCCATTGTTTTTCTATACTGGGTACCCTCAAAAATATTAAAACGGATAATGGTCCTGGATATGTATCTTGAGCCTTTCAAAATTTCTGCAACGCTTTGCAGATACAACATACTACGGGAATTCCTTATAACCCACAGGGCCAAGGCATAGTTGAAAGAGCTCATTTGCTTATAAAAAATACATTAAATAAAGTGAAAAAGGGGGAGTGGTATCCCAGCAGGGGATCCCCCAGGAATTTATTAACTCATATACTCTTTATTTTAAATTTTCTAAATTTAGATGCTCATGGTAAGTCGGCTGCAGATCGTTTTTGGCATCCGGAATCAAAAAGACAGTATGCCATGGTCAAATGGAAAGACCCCCTGGATAATTTGTGGCATGGCCCGGATCCAGTATTAATATGGGGCAGAGGATCTGTCTGCATTTATTCACAGCAACATGACATAGCCCGTTGGTTGCCTGAACGCTTAGTAAAGCAAATAGATACTAATCAATGTTCAAGGGAAGATGAAGCTCCCTGAGAAATGTTTTTTTCTTTTCTCTGTTTTCTTTTAGATTGTAATGGCTTCTGTCTGCTGCATCCTGTTTCTCCTGATTGGCTTTGTTTGGTCACAGAAGGTGATGCAGTGGGAATTTCAAGTTAAAGAAGGAAAAACATATTCTGATGATGACATGAAGATCATTGGCACTGTCCGTTGTCCAGTGAAGGGTTGTCAAGCAACCATTGTCATTCCGATCACTTCATCTATTTTATCTCTAAATCGAGATCTCATATATGTTTCACTTATGATAATAGATGCAGGTGTCTCACAGATAGTAATGATAAAGGTCAATTCATAATTTGTATAAACGACCCTTGGGATGTCAGGTGGCAGAATGGAGTGCGAGGGAAAATTTTTGATAATAATGGGTTCGCCTTACTCCCGGTGGGGTCTTTATCTATTTCCCTCCAGTTGGTCCCTGCTGCCATTGATAAACAAGTAAGACAGGTTATCATCATGAGTGAGACTAAGCTTCAGTCTGCCATACAGTCAAACTCCACCCTTAATCTTGCCCTTTGGCCTAATTATTTAAATTTTGCTCTACAGTTGATGAACCTTTCTAATATTAATGCTTCATTGTGTTTGTTATGTGCCTTCTTGGTTCGGCCCTTACTAGCTGCTGTCCCTGTTAATAATTCCTCTGCACTCAACATCGGCACCGCTGGCACTGTACCTTCTCCCCCCATGCCGTCAATTTCATTACTTCCTAATCCTGTGCAAAATATTTCCCTCTGCTATATCACTGCTATCTACATCTCCCCTTCCTTCATATGTCGCAGTAATCGCTCTGTCAGTTCACCTATTTATGCTCCCCCTCTTACATCTTTCTGGTGCAATGAATCCCTGTATCAACAGATCTCCAGGACCCTGTGTATTAATTACTATTGTGCCCCAGCTAAACATGTATTTGCCAGAGGAGTTCGCCTGGCTACTCTGCCCACGCATTAAGAAAGGAGTATTTATCCCTTTTGCAATTGTGATAGGATTTACTGTTTCTGCTAGTCTTTCTAAGCAGGGGCTTTGGGACATACTCTATACTGCAAAAGAATTTAATTCCCAATTACAACAAGTTATAGAATCCACAGCCAGTAGCCTTGCGTCCTTGCAATGCCAGCTGACTTCCTTGGCACAAGTTGCCCTTCAAAATCGTAGGGCCCTTGATCTTATTACTGCTGAAAAGGGGGGAACTTGCCTTTTCTTACAGGAAGAATGCTGTTTCTACGTCAATGAATTGGGATTAGTGGAGCAGAATATACAGACCCTGCAGACCATCAGTTATAAACTGCATCATTTTTATCCAAGTCCTTCTAGATGGCTGGATTCCCCTTTCCTTTCTTGGATTCCCTCTGTGGTGTCATACCTCCTCATCCTCCTGCTTCTTCTTACACTAGGGCCATTGTTGGTAAAAAGGCTGTTTTTCTTTATTAAGCAGCAAATAGAGGCTCTTCACGCTGCAAAACCCATACAGGTCCATTACCATCGCGTTGATCTTATGGATCGCGAGTTGATAGGGACACGTTGCTATGATGGTGCTACTAGCCATCCCCCTTGAGAGATGAACTGGATAGTCAATGACGGGTACGTGAGAATCCCCCCTTGATGGAAACCTAAGACAGGAGGGTAGTCCAATGCTACTACCTTATCCAATGACGGGTAAGCCCTTGGGGAAGGATACTCCAACCTAAGACAGGCGCAGTTCCCTAAGGGTCTAGCAACCTTCGATCCCTAAAACTCTATAAAGTAAAAAAGGGGGACCTGTTGGGAGCCTGAGGCTCAGCCATTTCTCGGGGCTGCTGGCAGACCTGAGTTGGTGACCTTTCCATGCAGGCCACAACCTTGGCTCACAGCCAGGGCTAACAACCTTGGCCCACAACCTTGGCTTACAGCCGGGGCCTGCAACCTTGGCCCGCAGCCTTGTTCTCTTTTCCAGTAAACAGCCCTGTTCTCCAGTAATCCGTAGATTCCTCCCTTAAAGTACGTCAGGGCCCCTGTGTTCTGATTGATTTGATTACCCACTCTTCATTTCTTTGTTCTCATTCTCTATTTAAACTCATGCTTGTGCTTTAATAAACGAGACTTGATCAGAGCACTGTCTTGTCTCCATTTCTCTTGTCTCTTGCCTCATCTACATCCCCACCCCCAATCCAGGTACACCCCGTTGCAGACCCCGCGGACAAGGGCACAGTTCCAGCAGATCTGATAACCTCTTCTGGCCTCCATATGACACACATGTGGTACATACATACACACACACACACGCACACACACACACAATGCAAAAAAAATGAGGATAGGTAGAGTTGTAACACAGTGGTAGAGCACTTGCCTAGCATGGGGTGGTGGTGGTGCTGAATTCAATTCCCAGTAATGAAAAAAGAGAAATTATGGTTTGAATGAGAAATATCCCCATAGGCTCAAGTGTTTGAACGCTTTGCCCCAGTTGATGGCACTGTTTGGGGAGGACTTGGAACCTTAAGGGTGGTGTGGCCTTGCTGGAGGAAGTATGCCACTGGGGGAGGGTTCTGAGAGATTAAATCCTGGAACCACTTAACTTCATGTTCTTTGCTTCATTTTTACTGTTGAAGATGTGAGCTCTCAGCTTCCTCCCCAGCCGCCATGCCTGCCTGATGCCATGCCTCCCCAGCCATGATGGACTCTTATCTTCTGGAACCGTAAGTCAAAAATTCTTTTTTCCTTAAGTCCCTTTTGCTCATGGTGCTCTCTCATAGCAACAGAGAAGGAACTAATTCAGGAAGGAAAGTTTTTTATTTTGGCTCATGTAAATCGAGATGTCAGTCCATTCTTGTTTGGCCCTGTTGTGATGATGAGACAGACACCCATGTGGTGAAGCAAGCTGCTTACCTCATGGTGAGTGGACAGCTAAAGATGAGAGATCGTATTCCCCTCACCCTTACCTCTTAAACATCCCACTAACTCTCAGGGCCACCACACACTGGGGACCAAGCCTTTACCTCATGGGCCTTTGGAGATCCTGCAGATCCCAATCTCAGCAGTGTGTTTCCTGTGAGAACCCACCACTCTCTGCTCTAGAGTGGCCTGCTGTTTTATACTCACATCAGCAATGCATGCGTGCCTAGACTTCTCTGCATGGGCAGTGTTTGATGTTACCCCTATTTTATATTCTACCCATGTCTTGTTTTGATTTTAGTAGGTGTTTTCAAAACTCTAATTCTGCTGGATATTTTTCCAGGTGTTTATCTCTGCGTCTTTTTGAGTGAAATTTCAGTCCATGTCTTCACTAAAATATTTTATTTATTATTTTTACTTTATGCATATGGGTGTATCGCCTGCATGTATGCAGGTGCATCCATGTTGTGCAGTGCCTGCCGAGGTCAGAATAGGGTTTTGGATTCTCTGGAACTAGAGTTATGAATTGTTGTTAGCCACTATGTGGGTGCTGGGAACCAAACCCAGGTCCTCTTCAAGAGTGTTCTTAACCACTGAACCAGCTGTCAGGCTCGCCATGTCTTTTCTAAAGAATTGTCTTCTTATTTACTATAGAATTTTGTGAGTTCTTTCTACAATCTGAACACAAGTCCTTTGTCACATATGTGATTTGCAGATCTTTTCTCCTAGCCTGTGGCAAAGTGCTTCCTGTGGCAAAGCGAGAACTGGGCCCGGGTATGCGGCTTCCTCTTACCCCTCTAAGACGTTTAGGTCTATACAAAAATAAACGGAGCGGGTGTTCATTCTCAAGGAAGCATCACTAGGAACTGAATCAGACCCAGGACACTCTCCAAGTCAAAGCAGGGGAGAGGCGGAGGTGTGACCTGGAGGAGTCACAGGCACTGATTTTCCGAGCTGGACTCCTGAGGCGCGCCCTCAGACCTCCTATAGGCTCTAGCTTTTCAGTACAGAAGACCCAGGTCTGTCCAAGAGACGGAGGCGCGGTCGCCCCGCCCAGGCCCCGCCCACGAACCCTGGCGGCTGGG